GTTACAGCGCCCTTGAAGCTGCTCTGCTGTTGGTGTTAAAATATGCCCTAAATGGGAACTTGGTAACTGCAAAGCTGAGTTTGGGCCACACGGTAAAAATTAGAAACATGCTAGAATTACCCCTCTGTTATGGAATTGCTACAAGCTTGAGATTGATTAAGAGGTAACTTAGTCCCACTATTTGTAACTGGTAATTCCTAACACAGGACATTAGTAGGGACACGAGCAGGTGAGTAGACTCAGTCTGTATAAGGAACAGGTTAAAAGATGGGAATAATTTCGCTTTCCTTGGAAAAGTTAGGCCTTGACACTGCTTGGGGATGATCTGCAAGAACAACACAGTCAGTACAGAAAGACCACCAGGCCCCCTGCCCCCCCCCACCAGCTGCCCCACTCGCATCCTGACAGCGCTGACAGACACGGGCTCTGCAAGGCAGCGCATGGCACCTTCCACCAGATTCATGTCCAAGATACACAAAGCCCACCATTACCGCATGTATCGCTTCAGTAGCGGAGTCGGGACATGACGTACATCCTGGAGGAGAGTAATCCTAAAAAATATTCTACAGCAAACTAAGTATTGCTGGGTAGTTGGCAATGATGGTCTTGTGCTTTCACACAGGTTGTTGTAAAGCTGCCAGCATATTCAACACGTATCAGTGTTGGAGGCTACAGCCAGGATACACGGCCAGTTCACTCTGAAATTCATTTTTGCAATTAGCATCCTGCCCTCCAAAAAACCCCACAAACCCACCCAGCTTCCCCGCTATCTTATCTCTGAAACAAAAGCTTTCTTTGAAAAATGAACACTGCGTAAGTCTTTACATTTACACAGTCACAAGGTAAGAGCAATCCTTCCAAGTAGACAAAAAACACCCCCCCAAAATCAATCTGACCCCAGCTGTTAGAGAAAATGGAAATATCCTTGCAAAATGCAAGTTCGGAATGGGCAGAAAAAGTTAAAACACATTAATCTAAGCAAAGTAACACCGAGGTGAAACAGCACCTTTTGTCTGTTGACATTGTTATCACCACTCGCTGTCAATAAGGAGAGAGACAGACTGAACTTGGTCAGCAGAAGACTGGCTTGTAAAGGATCAATCAGCCCTTCCCATTTCCTCCCTCCCGCAACATACAGGGTTTGGAAAAATAAGCAGTGTTTATTTACTAACAATGACATAAAATACATCTTAATATATTTTTATTTCTTTACAAATTAAAAGATGCATTGGAAAAACAAGTGGAGAAAATGAAAGGTTTGTTTATGATTTCATTTCCACCCCCCACGCCCCCCAGTATTAATACTAGAAATTAGTATCTGTGGAAGTCTGTGGTTGCTGCGCTTTATATTCCTGGGAAGTTGTTTTTCCCCTCTGGTTAAAAATCCTCTAGATTTCTTGGATGGAGGCAGTATGTGGAGTAAAAAGTCAGCCACGTTCATACAAAAATGCTGAAGGTTCTGTCATCTACATCTTGAAAGAGTTTCTCCATTACAGTTTTCATATTCCCCTTTCTGTGTAGTGATGGGAGGGAAGACAAACTAGCAGCATTAGAAGAAAAAGGGATTTATGTACATGCTACAGGATATGGAACTAAAACCACAGCCAGATCTCTTTCTGCTCTTGATAAGGACTGTCCTCTGAAATACCAAGCCCATATAATATGGTCTCTAATCCACCCACATTCTTCCTTCCACTTTAAGTGTGGCTTAAACCCCTGGGTATTGTCAGAACACTCGTTAAGCGTTCAAGCTAAAATATACAAGCCCCCTTTCAAAAGCGAATAAACGAAGCCCTTGGAATTCTGAATTTGATTTACACTCACTCCCTCTTTGCAGGAGTCTTCTCCTCCACCCTTGCAGAATAGAGTAGCAGAGTGGCCAGGGTGGATGGATTAATCTGTCTGAGGTATTTTAGTTTAACAAATAGGCTTATAAAAAGGTTTTGTGCAAGCTGACCAGTGGGCAGAATGGGGGAAGAGTGTACACATCCAGTAATGAAACTCTTCACTATGGCCCAGATGTTTTTACTAACCAAAATTGGGTGTTTGCAATACTTACTACAGTACAGTCTAGATATTTTGGTTTTGCACCCCCTTCCTTGCATTCCAGGGTACAAAGCAGTATCAGATTTGCACCGGTGTAATTCCAATTCCTGCTTGTTGGCTCTAATTCACAACATTATGGTTGAAAATGGCCACCTCCTTATCATCCAGTTCCTACACAGCCACACATCACCTTGTTAAAAGTATTTTCTACTTAACCTTAAGAGGCTTTTGTTCCCAGCATCATCTGGATAGACAGGTAAGCTCTGCAGGAGAGGCCGTGGAACACGGATTGAGTAGGACATAACAAAGCTGTGCAATGAGAAGGAAAGGAGTCACCACACGTGCCAACGGGAACCACCGTCTCTACTCCTGCGCTGCTCAGCAGCTGTTGGTTGTTGATCGCTGAACTAATACTCCATCACAGATCTGCACTGCAACTTACAGCGCAGGAAGATTGTGGAAAGAAATTTGCCCTGCTGCCTCCTTGGCCTGCTGCTCATTCAGTTTTTCACGGAATTCTGGTTCAGCCAGCCACATGATACACTTGTGTTCTGCAACATCTGTTTCCCTCTTAAGAGAAGGGGACGCAAATGTTTGGCAGCTCCAGCTCCCATCACCTGATCTGCCTTTTGTCCTCCCCACCTGCGCATCCTCTTCACACCTGGAGCATGCACACGCACCCACACAAACACACAGCAACTACCAGAAGTTTTGAAGAGTTATCGCTTTTTCACCCAATGTTGAATCATGTACAGTGAACTGAAAAAAACCTACATTCATTACAACAGGATTAGCGAGCACAGGGTGGGGGGTGAACTCCTGCCAAGCACAGGAAACAATTTAGATACAAGTAAAAGACCTGGTATCAAAGGCCTTTTTTTTTTTTTTTCTTGAGCCCTCACCAGGAAAATTTTTCATCTCTCGTACAGGACTGGGAGAGGTTGAAGGGATTTCTGCTTATGCAATGTGTATTAAAAATTATGGAATTGTACAGATTTCTACGCTGTCCTTTTTGAGGGCGCTGGGCCTTCCGATCAGGTCATTAGTGGAGACTAAAATGTCACTGCTGAGTTCCAGCACCACTCCCTCCTCTAGCTCAGTAGCTCCCGAATCTCCTTGTGCATGTGACACAGGAAGTCCACATATGACGCCCCCCCACTCAGGCTCTTGTCCTCCACTAGAAAGTGTTTGAACAGCATTTCCAGCTTATCTTCTTGCTTCACAACTATTAACTACAAAAGACAAAACAAGAACAAAACCAACAGTGAGTAGTTTGCAGAATTAACGTTCTTGGGGGAAAAAAAAAAAAAAAGAGTAGAAAGCTAAATAGCTCACAAATCCAAAGACAGATAACCAGAATCACAAAATACATGGATCGTGCGCTTTGACTCCTGTAACTAAACTGGATTGAGCCTCAGTCCTTTCCATACAGAAGGAAAATACCATGTAAGTGGGTTGTGCAGTAGCATATTATGATAGGTCTGGAAAAAACTGGAACTACGGTAAGCACAGAACCTCAAAACTAGTAACAAATTGTTTTCAGATCCTTGAAAACTTTGTCTGAATCACATTTGAGATCAGGAAGAATAAAGTCAGCATTGCAACATTACCAGGCATCACCTGCTCTCCTGAAAAGGAAGGGGATTTAAAGCTATGAATGGGGGACAACACTTTTACCTTCATGTAGCGGGATCTCTGCACTTGAAGCATGTCAATAATAGACCGTACTTTCTTTGAGAAAGGGTTTTCCAAGACAGGCAGGGTACTCTGGAATGAAAAAAATCCCATTAGTCACACGACACAGAGCAACATTAAACAAAACTCAGCAGTTTTGTCATATTACATAACGGTAGATACATCTGGCCCCACCAACACACTATCTTTTTGACCTCAACTAGTTAAAAGAGAATTATAACATGATAGCAGAATTAAAGGCCAACTACTCATTCCATTTACATATCAACTGTTCTCCTCACCATCAGTGGAAGTGTGGTTGTCAAATAAAGCTAGGCAAAAACACATCTGACATGCCCAGACAAGGGCATTTCCCCTACATATGCTTCTCTTGTTCCTAGTATGAAAAATTCAACACTATTTTCTCAACTTGCTTATTGTTTTAACTTTTGAGTGACTATCACAGACACTAGCTCCCGCGCTGCCATCCAGCTCACCAAGGCATTGCTAATCTGACTGAAAGATGACACTCCAAAGAGGTTCTGGATCAGGCCTTGCTGCACGTTGACTCCCACCCACACAAAAATGTTCAGCCCATTCTCCAGCAGGTATATGTCACCCTTGGAGAGACGTTCCTCTGAGTTCCGGATTGCTGCTGGCAAGGAGTCACTGTCAACATCTGCTTTGGTCTGTTTTACAGTGAAATAAAAAATAAAATAACATGGTTATAAACCAAGAGCATCTTAAGAAGGCCTGAAAATTTCTGCCACTAAGACCCCAATGGTTTTCTCATTTCTAGGACTTGTAACACTGCAACAGCTGTAACTGAAGTATCATCTTACTTAGCTTCATTTTCCTAGGGAGCATGACACAAGCAGACCAGAGACTCTTGGTTAGCAAAAGAGAACAAGAGGCTGCTGTGAAGTTACTTTGTAGCTCCAGTGTTGCCTCCTGGAGTAAGGATGTAATTAGTTGTTAGTGTTATTCCAGCAACTATGGTACTGAAGAGTCAGAATAGTAGGAGGAGTTGGCCTGCAGTGATGAAAATTATTACGTGGTTACAAGAAGCTTTAGGACTTTTAAGAGATTATCAAAGGGTCAAAAGTGTTGTCTTTGTCCCCACTCACATGCCCACAACTCAGAAAAAAACACTCCAGGAAGTGCACAAGATGCAGTAATGCATCCATCACTGGGTGGAATTTAGTGAAGTACAGACAGCAGATCCCAAATCCTTCTCAAATCACTCTCCCTTGCTAAAATACAAACGCCAGCCCTTATGACCAGCCAAGACAATAAGCAAGTCCTGAGTGGCAAGAACATCCTGAATCACTCACCAGGGGCAAAAGCCGGGGGTAAAAGAAAACGTTTGTTTCTGCCACATCCATGGATGTGACTAACTGACGAATGTAGGCACGGTCATCCGTTGTGACCTCCGGACCAGGCTGAAGGACGTCGCTCTTCAACACACAATTCAAGTACACAGGAAGCAGCTTCATGCATTCAGGGAGGATCAGCTACAAATCACAAGCAGACAGAAGCTGGTCAGCTGCCTTGATGAATAAGCTTGTTCGACAAAACGAGGCTTGCATGAACCAACAAAGTGCGGTACGGCTGTGAGGAGTGAAAGCTCTAGTCTAATTATACCACAGACTTGCAAAAAGAACATAAAACTTCTCCCTGGAGCAAGTAGTGCTTCCTGGGCTCCAGAGAGCCATTCTCAACTGTAGTTTTACTTGCAGCCTCTCTAGTTCCATGGGACTTCTCTTTGCAAATTTCTGCTGAGCAAAACAACCTACTTTTTTTTGAACAGGTTAAGTGGGAAGAAGGTCTCATCAGGTTTTAATACCCGAGCCAGTGACTGAAGTGAAAGCATAGTTGTTTACCTGGCCAGCAGACGAGGGACTAGCACAGTTCTTTCGATAGCAAGCTAGGATCTGGGCACACTGGCTGATCAGTGCATCTCGTACAGTCTTCACTGGACTACTCAGAACTCCACGATATGCTGCACAGAAAGAGGGAAGAGATGGACGCCTATCAAGTGATTGCTCATGAACAGTATAAAACCCAACATGACTTCCACAAACTACACTTAAACAACTTGTTGTTTATGGAAGTCTTCTTTCCCTCTGCTTCAAACTTACGGGAAAGAGAAGATACATTCCCACTGATGATCTTAAGAAACTCATTTACGGTTTTATTAAACTGGTTCTTAAACTCTCTCTCTCCCATGCACTTTAAAATATACTTAGTCGTACTTGAAAGCATGGGCTACTACAAAAACTCCTTTTATAGCCAGGCCATCTTTCTTTAATGGATTGAAAAGGGACTGTTTCTTACATTTTAATAGCGATAAACATACACAACTCAATCTCTGCTGGATGTGGAGGCTTTTACTCCAAACTAGAAAGGGTAAATAGGGTACAAGACACAAAACTATGGTATTTAACCCAGATCTATGAGCAAAGCCCACCATTTCCTGTTCCTAGAGCAATATTCTGGAACAGTTAAAGAACGAACTAAAAGAGTCCAAAAATAAATACAAGGATGAAGTCAGACAGCAGTTAATTCAAACCTCTTTAAAATATTTAGACAAGAATTTGTAAGAAGGATAAGCCTAAGCAACTATATTATCATCACAGCTTTATGCTCTTTCCAAAAGATAACTGAAGTATCAGGATTGCCACCTGACATTTGATGCAACAAGAATAAACAGGTAACATTGGATGACAATAGGCCTTTTAACAGCAGTTAAAAGGTTGCAATTCACGTTGCCATATTTACCCTTACCATATTTAGCCAAGTAATTGATGAGTGTGTCTGTCTCACAGTTTCGATAGAGGTCAGCAAGCTGCGTGCAACAGTTTAAGGAGAGGTTGTGAATGCGGAGTCGTCGCTGTCCTGCACAACTTGTATATAACAGAGCACACTGTAGGAGACAAAAATGCCAGGATACAGAAAGATGAGGTCCTGCTGCAGTAAGAAAGGCAGGATTTGAATATACTTCATTAAAAACTAGTACTCAGATACATAATTATCTTATTTGTTTAGGCAAGAGACTAGCACAATAAGGTAAAAGCATATGAAAGGTAAAAAGCAGCAGTTAGCAGTCTGTGTTACAGGAACTCGTCCTGGAAAGCAGCCTGCAGTCTGAAACAGTCTAGGCCACCCTGAGAACAAGTATGCTGAAAGGTTAAGAGTATAGTAAGGGGCAGAAGGAAAGAACAAAGAGTTTCCTGAAGGGGTGTCTAATAATTCAGTTCAGAGCAACCACATCCTCTTCTGCAACTGGCACTCTCCCCAGCTGAGATTTGGTTCTGCCTTGACACAGTTTTGTTGACAATTCTAAACTGTCAACTCACTTTTTTCTCCTAGAAGGCCTCCCCTCTCACCTGAAGGAGAGCACCACTGTCTTCACTCAGTTTGTCATCATGCTTGAATTCCACTGTGATTGTTTTATCACAGTCCAAACCTGCCATCTCTACATCAGTTGTGTTGCTCATATAGAAAGCTCCAAAGAAGTCAGTTGCTCGAATACCTAAAAAAGAAGAAATTCTAACATGAACCACAATTTTCAACAGAGTAACAAGACAGCCAGCCTCTGGAGCCCTGTAACTGGTAACACTAAGTTATCTTGACCTATTTCAGCAGGGATCTTTGCTCAGTCTCAACAGAAGTCAAAGCTTTAGCAGAGCTTTTTGCATAGACTGGCCTCAAGATATTTTAAACTAGGGGAAAAATCTGTTACTTCCCATATGTCATGCTTGACGCAGTCAATTGATCATGACTTATTCATGCTAGCACCCACCTGTGCTTGTGCGCACTCTCATTACGGCATCAAATCCAACTTCTTTCTGGACATCCCTTCTCAAGTCATTCAGGAACCTATCCTGGTCTGTCTCCAGCTAGAACGCAAACAAGAATTCAAGTTTCATACTCCCATAAATCACAGCTGCTCCATAAACCATAAAGTAATTTAAAAAAACATATTATCTCCTGCAGTCTTACTCTGAAAATCAGCTATCATAAAGGGCTCGGTGCCCTGCTAATAAAACACTGTGCTAAAAGATAACAGAATAGTTCTTGTTCTTGTTATTAATAGAGATATTTTATGTAAATACATATTTTATGTAAATACATAAAGCTAATAAAATAATTTTGGTGAAAAATTTGAAATGTAAGTAGCAATTTATTTCCAAAGTAGTACTTGTTCACTACGGTTCACACTATGCAAAAGAACCCTTATCTGAACTATAATTCTCACTTTGATCAAACACCAGCCTGAGTTTATGTCCCTCTTACCTGGAAATACGCATACTTATAGATGGAGCCTCCCGTCTGGTAAGTTACTACACCTAGTGTCGCCACATCCAAATACTGGTTTGGAAACAGAAACAGATCCACACAGCAGCCCTGGGCCACACAGTCCTTGGCCAAGTTGTTGTAAAAGCTTGTCTGTGGTTGAAACAAAGTCTAGGAAAAGAAGTCAGAGATGAGATCAGAAGCTTGTGGTAAGAACAAGAAAGTGAGATCCAGTTTATAATCCCTGCCAGTACACTTTCATACTTTAAGTCTCTTCAGGGAAATTAGGATCATATAAATTCTTCCTGACCCTGCCTTTGAGGAAGTGTTGAATATTACAAAAATTACAATTAAAGCAAGATGTGTAAGTTCAGCCCATTTACTTTAACCCAGCTATGCTATTTCACCCTCTATAAGGTGGTAGATGTATCTCTTCTTGTTCTCATACCAGAGGTGTCCTTATGATGTCAAGTCTACACAGCTCTGCTTGAGAACAGAAGATAAAGTGCAAGGTTAAAAGACCCTAGCTGGGATGGCTACATTATGTGCTGCCCTTGTAATTTTTTTCATGTTGCTTCAGAGTTATTTTGTCTCATAAGTATAACATAGACCTCTAATGTAAGCATCATGCAAGTCATAATTACCTTCTCCTTATCTGTGTTGATCAGTTTCTTATCATCCCTGTTCTTTAACTTCCCTGGAGCCTCTGCGATGGGCAGAGAGGTGTGGAAAATGAAGAGCTTGCCAGCACACTCGGCTGCCTGCAGGAAAGTGAGTGCAATAGCGTAGGTTAGAGAGGTTTATAAAAATTGTAATGGAAACTGTGATTCAAGAACAAGCATTCAAGCATCCTCATTGCTTCACGTCTTTGCCAGGAAGGCACTCTATCATCCACACAGGCTCAGTGATCACTTGGTTACTTCAGTGATATCCAACCCAGGGAGCAGGGCTGACTGGTCAGTTACAGAAAAGCAAGTTTCAGCTCGACTGGACCTGTGCTAGTTCCATGGCAGGGATAAAAGGACTGGCTCCAAGGAAGACACAGAGCAGTAAGCAGGACTCAGCTACAAAAGGTTCTGCACAAACATGATTGATCTCTTTCTTCTCTGATTTGCAGCTACTCGGTTTGTGGGAAAGGAAAAGAGCCAAAGAAATGTCAAAGGATTTTTGTAATCTGAGCTTCATTGTTTTACATCATTAAAATAATCATAATTATTAATTTTAAAACCAATAATGTATGTCAACATTAGCCAATGTTTAGCACGTTATTTTTTCTGACACATGCAATATGTAAACAATCCATTAGTAATTTATATTTTTTCTTGATTGAGCAATTGTCATGGAAACTGAGTTTAAGAGAGACTTCTAAGGACTTACATGCCGTCTCATTAGAGCTATATGAACAATATGAACAATTTTGGATGGAATCATACACGCCATCAATTCGATCAGTATATACAAGTCAGAGTTAGATCATGCATGTAATTATCTGGATGAAGCACTGAAATGGAAGAACTTTAGGAAAGGTTTATTTGGTTAGCACATTGGTGCAGGCAACTTCAACAGACTGTGTTCTCTCCTTTTATTTAATATTACACCAAAGCTTCAAGCATAGCACTGGAAAGACACCATGTTACACAGCTCCTCAATGAGACATGACAGACTTCAGCATCTGGTTTTAATGTTGGAGGGTCTTTTTTTTTTTTTTTGGTAGGTTCTGGAAACTTTTCCAAGCAAAACCCAGCCAGGTAACCGAGATTAAGCCACATCTTGTACTTTGAGCAAAACTACTACAAAAATATTGGGTAGAGAACAGATAACTACATAGAACTGGAGGTACATGCACCTGAAGAATGAGTCATGTACTCTCTACATGTAGTGCATCTACCACAAGGAGACTTACCAAAAGCTTTAGAATTGTCTTGTTACTGTGTGTTAACAGAATATGAACTTCAGAGTCTTCAGACTGAAAACAATTTGCCATGACAGTGCATTTACTAACCTTCAGTGCCTCCAGTCCTGCCTGAATCACAGGTGCAAAAACAGTTTCTGTTTCTCTTGTGTCTGCAAACATTTCTGGAATCTGGTCCAGCAAACTAGCAGAGAACACAAAAAAGGAGAAATTCAAGATTCCATTTAACTGGAAAAGCCACACAGTTGCAGTTGATGACCTGTAACACTGAGGTGGTTTAGGCAGAAGTCCCTAACATGTCTGTACATTTGCATAACTTTTACAGTATTTGGCATGTCATTATTTATCTGTGAAAAAACCCCTATGCTTTCTCATTCTTCACTGGCCTCTCTCATTGGTATCCTCAGTGCTTGCTGTACAGCCTCAACTGATGCCTACTCCAACAGCTCTTTGATATTTCTGCTCTTTCAATATATTCCAACACATAGTTAAGTAAACTCTTAGGAAAGACTAGCGAGTCTTGGCCTCTGTTTGCCAAGCATCCTGTGTACTATTAAAAGACTAATAGGTTTAATCCACAGTTTTGTATTTAAGCTTGTTAATGAACAACAAAACAGGCTAGAAATTTTATTTAAAAACATGCAGTACCAGGTCTAGTTCCTAAAAGAGTTAGCTACACACCACAGTTTAATTACAGTTCAAGTATCATGTTAGTTTGCCAAAACTTTGCTAATTTCTCTTTCTTTCCTTCTAGATTTTATCTGCTCTATCCCACACATTCAGCTTTCTCCACAGTACCTAAATTAGACACCACTTATAGTTATTTAGGCAGCTGCCTTAAAGGCAGTGACTCAGTATTTCTTTCAACTTGCATTCTGCACCATTCTAGTGGTGTTTTCTTAGGCTTTTTCCCAGAAATGCCTGTCTGCACTAAATCCTCTTGTATATACACAGTCTGCCAAGCTGGACTACAAGCCAAATATACCCTTACCCCATTAATTTTCCCATCCTCCTTTGCCAGTTTAATCTAAAAAAGTATAGGAAGTTGAAAATCATGGAGTAACTTCTAGGTAAAAAAACATAACAAATAAGCAGTGAACATTATACTTCCAAATGCAACACCTGAATCTACCAACAAGAAGTTTACTACACACATTGTAAATCAACTTCTATTACCTGACAATAACTGTCCTGGACTCGTTCACGTTCACCAGAAAGCCATCAAGGAGTGGCACAAACATATCTGCCACATCGGAGACAACCATCATTTGTGGCTGTGCCAGCGAGCTCTTCACGTTATAGAAGTGTAACACTTTGTTGTAGGTGACAAAGCCGACTCGAATGGCTGATTCTTCCATGTTGCCTTCCCTGTAAGAGACATACTTCCCTTTACACCGAAGTACGTAGAGAAATCATTACACAGAACCCAACACAGTAAGGGATAAGGGAGAAACGAAAGGAAGGAACATTTATTTTCACCTAGAAAGGCATCCAAAAACATGTTCTGCTTGGCCTTTTTATGATGAAAAGCTTGATATGTATACCACAGTTTTCAAATTTCTAGCTTTTTTAAAGGGAAAAAGTCACCGTTTCCCCCACTCTGCCTGGCTACAGTAGTGTACGATGCACCTACCTGGGCAGGTAGTCTAGGAGTGACTTCAGTTCTTCACATATTAGCCTCACTAAGCCACTCTTCACAGCATTGTAGGACACATCAATCATGAAAATGAAAGCAGGTGGACTGGGAAATTTGTTGTTCTGTGGAAGACAGGGAAGAAATCACATGATGGCCATGTAATGCAGCCCACATCACTGCTCTGTAACATGGACAAATGGATGCTGGTCAAGACTAACAGCTTTCATGTGCTTTCCTACTCATGAGCAGGAACTGTTTCTTCAGATCATTCTCCAATCCCTACCCAATTAACAAACATGTAAGCACACTGTGCTTGGAATGGACTGCTATTACATGCCCTAGACTGATTTTGCCACTGCTCAGTGAACAACAGCCTAGTCACAACTAAATCATGCATTTACATGACCAGGCCAGATGGAGAAAAGTAGGCAGGGAAGATTCCTGCCAGTTCTGAAGACTTGGGAATCTGACCAGACTTGTTATAGGTAATTTCATCAATATAAAGCACAATATTTTCCTCTCTGTGAACTGCAACCCTTCCCTTCTACTTAGATATCAGGTTTGCTGTGGGAAAAAACTTAGTTCCAGTCAACAGTTTTCTGAGATCTATAGGTTATACTGGAAGGAGCACACAGAACAAAAGCAAACCAGGACTTTCAAATCTGGGAAGATCGCTTCCCACTGGAATTAAAAATGCTTCTTACACTGTTAGAAGTGAGATAATTTCCTACACCTGAAGTAAAGCTGAAGCATCTGTATAAGTCTGCAACATTTAGGCATTCATTTTCCCAGCATTTATTTCAGCAGAGATGAAAGTTGCTTTAATAAACACCTTGGACATACTTTTCCTATTTCTCAAAAGTTAATTATTTCAATCTTTCATTTAAAAGTGAACCAGCTCTGATATGTATTTCCACACTCTTCTTGTGTTTTTAAACACTATTTGAAATTTAAATTCAATAGGTAAAGTCTGTCTTAGGCAACAGGTGGCACATTGCATAGTTACTACGGTACTTTTCTTGACTCAGTCCTGCATTCTCCTCCTGCCCCAAGGACTACCGCAGGACTCCCTCCTGCAGAACTGCTATGGGGACAGCAGCTATAGCTGCTTATAATGCTCCAAAAGAGAATGACAGGGGCAGCTATGACAAGATTGTGTTATGCCATGTGTGATCAAGACTTCCTCTGCTTCGGGGAGTAAGCAGACAAGCACATTATCTTACACAATGGATGGGTTGGACTAATGCTGTTGATTACTTCTTCCAGCTAGAAAGCAGCCCCAGACAGTTTGTGTCATTCTTACATTTTTGAAAACAGGCTTTTTATTTAAAAGCAAAACAAACCACAGTAATAAACACATAATACTGTACCTTGCAATAGTCAACTGTTGCTAGAAATTCGTAAGACCCTAGTGATAACTCAGGTCGATCATAGAAGTCTACTCGCTTTCCAGTGTGATCCAAATGCTGGAAATAGTGAGGTGGCACTGGGGAAAGAAAAACCATTAAGTTCAGTGACACATCCATGACAAATACTGTGATTAGAAAGCTAATATGACAACAGCTGTTTCAAATAAAACTCCAGAAAAGCTAGGTAGCAATCTGTGCCAACATGCAAGTATCACTAGAAATACTCATGCAATTTAAGAGCATCATTAAAGCCAAGAAATACAGAAATGCACCAGGTGGCACACTGAACAGCCACTACTGTACTTGTCCTGAATCTCCTTTACATTCTTATTTTACATTTCATACCAGAAACATCACAACAACACACTCATAGGATTATTCTGAAGGATTTAGTCCAAAGGAAAAATATAGCCATCTTGCATAAGTAGTAAAAAATTACTTAAAACAGAGTTTGCAGTAAACCACAGGCTACATTAGAATCATAGAATCATAGAATGGTTTGGGTTGGAAGGGACCTTAAAGATCATCTAGTTCCAACCCCCCTGCCATGGGCAGGGACACCTTGCACTAGACCAGGTTGCTCAAAGCCACATCCAGCCTGGCCTTGAAGACATCCAGGGATGGGGCATCCACAACATCTCTGGGCAACCTGTTCCAGTGCCTCACCACCCTCTCTGTGAAGAATTTCTTCCTGACATCTAATCTAAACCTCCCTGATTTCAATTTGTACCCATTACCCCTTGTCCTGTCACTACAGGCTCTTGTAAAAAGTCCTCTCCCAGTACCCTTGTAGGCCCCCTTCAGATACTGGAAAGCTGCAATGAGGTCTCCTCGGAGCCTCCTCTTCTCCAGGCTGAACCAGCCCAGTTCTCGTAGCCTTTCGTCATAGCAGAGGTGCTCCAGCCCTCTGATCATCTTCGTGGCCTCTTCTGGACTCGCTCCAAGTGGGCAATATCCTTCTGATATTGAGGGCTCCACAGTTGGACGTAGTACTCCAGGTTCAGGCTTACCAAAGACTGAGCTCCTTATTTTACTGTATGAGTTAGCTTTTTCCTTCCCTTCCCATTGCGCACAAGAGTAAAGCCTTCTAGACACTCCTGGGTGCAGAGACTGCCAAAATCCTTTTGTCAGAATAGACAGGGCATTTCTTGAGGTGGATTGTAAAGCGTTAAGAAGGAGATGCCAAGAGTGTACTACATTCCCAGTATTTTTGTGCTAGCACCAGACATCAGAAGTTAAAGTAAGAGCTAGGATAAGTTTTTGCCTACAAAAATCAGCTGCAGAAACAGAAGAAAGCATTTCCCTTGTGTCCCAAGAGCTACCATGACAGAGTTCCTCCTGCAGAATTGCGGGGGTGGCAAAGTGTGTTCCAACTATAGCTTACCTACATAGCTCGAGAGAGAATCTCATTTTATTCTCCCCTAATGATAGTATTCACCACCTTTAAATTATTCTAAACACTCAAAGTTTCAACAGTTCAAAACAAAACTGGCATCATTATGACTATATATATAGCAGGTAGCATGGTTCTCGTCTCCAAGAACATATCCACTACAAGCCAATTACCTAATTGTTTTTGCAGAGAAACCAGAAATTGTTCTCAAGTATTAGGTACAAGTACAGTGTGTTTTCACAGCAGTGCTTTCATCAGCAGGCTCTGAGCAGCAGTCCCGTGCCTTCTCTCCCTGCTCAGCTGTTACAGGTACAGCCATTCATATGGCTGCTGAGTGAGCGGGACAGGCAATGCATGCAGGCTGAAAAACACCTGACAACAAAGATTTTTTTTAAGTTGGCCATTTCTAACTCCTGTCAGCTTCCCATTTTGGTTTGTACAAACAGTTGTACAGCATGACTGAGGTGGCAAGAATAAACTGCATTAAAAGCTGTCATTGCTACCAAATGAAACAGAACATCACTGTAAGGTTTGTTGTACTTTACATTCCACTGTGCCTTCAAAACAAATGTACAGGTATCGTGCTGTGAGAAGCACATAGTGACTTCTGCTTAGAAGGAAGCATTTTTATATTAATTTAGAAGAGGAACTGAGATTAACTGGCATATACTGAACACTCCTATTCAGCCATTGCAGATTTAGCTGTAATCTAAGCAGTGTTTAAACAGGCTTTGTGAGAAAAAAAATCATCCTAACTCATCCTACTGACTAGATGTACATCTCAGTCTGTCATAGAAAAATGTTAGTTTGAAATACACTAAGAAAATAACATAAATAATTCTTCTAACCACCACACATTATGCTTCAAGTGCCTCATGTTAACAATACGATACATTAATACTGCAATGCATAAGCACCTATTTAGCTTCAACATAATTTCAGAACTGAGCACTGAAATGTGTTTTATCATTTACAAGACTAACCAGACATTAGAGCACAGCATACATGACAAATGATGATAACAGAAGAGATTTATTTGTTTGCATCTGGTTCAAATATCACCCCAATAGAGTCTAGAGACCGATTTCCAGAAGAAACCTTACCCTCAGTGACACAGCTGCAGAAACAACACTGGAACCTCCTTCCACCCTCAATGAATTGCATAAAAGGGCACATGTAGGCCTTGCACCTATTACATCGGACAGGACCGGATTCTCCATGGTCTACCAAATAAGGAAGAGTCTATGGAAGCAGAGGAAAAAGAAAAGATCACATGATGAGGAAAAAGAAGTGACCCCACATACTGCAGCACTTAAAACTATCTCCTGTACATTGCATAGGATTTAACATTTTGGCAGCTGTGGGAGAGAGTGAAGGGGGTGGGAGAAGCCTGAAGAAGTATTTTGTAAATGTTTTTCAACTCAAGCTTTAGCACAGCAGTTCTCTGGGCTGCAGTCACTGATGGGCTATCCCACTTAGACACAAACAAGGCCTTCTGCATGGTGCTGCACTACCTTATATAGTAGCCTGCTTGAGGAGCATGAGCTCTAGCTCGTGTGCCGCACAGCACAGATGTATCCCAAGAGAACACAAGACTGAAGCCATGCAAAGAATGGCTGTGATAAACTCAAAAGGAGTAAGCATACAATTTACACTTCATCATAGGTTGGGTGTTTTAAAAACAGTTCTTCCCCTCTTACATTTTTCCCTTGTAAAGAGCAAGCTTTTTGACAAAATGGAAGCCAGTCATTGCATTCCATACGTTCAAGAACATAAAGCATCCAGACTACCTTAAAAAATTTCAGCTGATAAGACTTATTTTTGAAGTCCAGCACAAAATACAGTATACCCATTAAATCTGCTTGTCTCGACCCCACTGTATAGCAAATCCTCAAAACTGTTACATAGTGATACCATTTTAACTATTACTGACAATATACATTTTTTACAGCCAAACCAGACTAAGATGATTTGCAACTTCCACAGCTCCTCAACATCAGAACGAGCAGGAAGCACTTTAAAATGATTAAGACATAACTGGTGCAAGCTACAAGCTGCATTCACAGTTCAAAGCACCATTCATAACTAAGAACCTAGCTCAAAAGAAAGTTTAACTACTTACTTTCTGACACTAGAGGTGTCCAGTCTTAATTCTCTCAGTCACCCTAAACCTCACTCAGATCATGTTTATGAGACAACATACTCCTTGAGCCGAGTTGGGCAAACGCTCTTCATGCCACAGATGTTTCACATCTCTCATTCAACCCCACTCATCATTTATTGATAATGCAGTGGTTTTGTGGCCAGCATTTCTCAGCTCCTACTGCCCAGGCTGACCTCCTCAAGGGAAACAAAATGCAAGTTTTCTGACTGCCAGTGTTGGTACTGTACTTCCACACAACAAGCGGTTTTCCTCAGCCTCTCCCCCAGTAACATGCATGCAAACAAACAAGGGTGCTGTGAACATGCAGTGCTCTGCAGAACTTGTCACTAACCACTTAGTCCCAGAAGGCAGAGCTGCCTCTTTTCTGAAGCCTCAAGCTTTGCTTTCTGAACTGTGCTTTAACACAGGGCAAAGGTCCAGTAACTGGCAACTAGAGGCTGAATTTTCATACTGCAGATTTATCCAAATGTATTTTCATGAGACATTTATCCTCTCATAACTGATATTTTATGCTTTAGCTCGATTTACAGTCTTACTGCTCTGAACAGCTGAGCCTTCATCTTTTGGAAGGGCCCCTCCACAGGGAGTTTGCCCTTGCCGTAAAGAACTTCCAAATGCTAGAAGCTGACTGGTCTCCAGGGCAATTTTCCAATCCTAGCCATGTTTTTTCTGGATATCACAAGTGTTTGTTCAAAGCATAAACACACCAGCAGACCTAACAACTAGCTGTTTGTAAAGCTTCTCTAAAAATGTGCAGCTCCACAAGCCTCCAGGTTTCTTAAATAAGATCACATTCTCCTACCGTGCTCCTTTTAGACTCCAGCCACAATACAGCAATACAGGAATTAACTTCACAACTCAGTTTTATCGCAAACTAGTTTTCAAAATCATACCACAGTTTATGAGCAGTAACGAAATACAACAGGAAAACCACACCCTTAAAAGCCCAAAGGTTATTCCTTTCCTTAGCAGAGGGTAAAGTTATGTTTAACAGGGCACAGAATACTGAGAACACTCTGAGGAGGTGTACACATTTGTGACCATCCTACTATTTTGGTTATTTGGTCACAGTGCTTGACAACTACTGCAAAAAAGCTGAAATGATCATGGCGATCAAAATATTAAATGTTTTGAACAAAACATTCTTCTGCCTTGCAGGTCTCTACCACACACTTGGAGGAGAATCAGCGTTTGCCTAGTCTTTGTTACCTAAAAATTCCTTCTCAACTATGTGTTAAATGTGGGTATGTAATAGCATTCTCCTGATGAGTTCAGAGTGCATACTGTAATGGAACTCCGCACACAGTTCTCACCTCTTCTGGGGGCAGAGTAGCCAGTGGCTTTATGACAGCAGCTAAGGGAACTTGGGACTGTTTGGCCATATCTGAGGTGCAGGGAATATTGTAAGATGTGCATCTTATGTAGCGGGGGCTTGCGTTACCTGGAGAACAAAGAAAAATTCCCCACAGATTTCAGTACAAGTTAAGTTTATATTCAAGAACAGAAATAAAGATAGCTTCAGTTGTGTTGTTAAGCTACAGGGACTAAGAATTTATCTAAACAATTCATTTAAATCTGTGCAAAACCTGAATTCCAAACAAAACACCTCTCTGTGATTAACTACGTATAATAAAAGCTTTTAACTCAAAACAAACGAACTTGACTCCGCTTC